ATATATATATGAAAAGCAATATATATATATATATATAAAATTTTACTTTTGGAACGTTTTTGATATTGTAACATATGGTACATAACAATACAGACCTTATTCTTTCACCTCCAGGTTCTTGTTTCAAGCAATTAACCATTCCTAGTATTCCACTGCAAAAATCATCTTCTGATACAAGCCATAAACATTCCTCGTCCCTTTGTCTTAAGCGTTTTTTAATCTCTTCAACCCAAGCAAATTCAGGGTTTCTGGTTATATTTACAACATGATGTTCCACGCATAGCATGGCTGGACGGAGTAGGTACAATGCTGATCCATAATCATTACGGGCGCAGCTCAAAACCAGTAATTTGTTGTCCTGAAGGATTTGATCCAACGTGGGACGAGATTGGACAGTACCACACTGCCTTGATAAGAACTCTTCAAATGATGTTAGTTTTTCTTTGTGGTAAAATATAATAAATCCATTCTTCGCCAGCATGGAACATGAAGTTTCAACCAGCTGTCTCAGTTCGGTTGCCGAGCCACTGTAAAACGAAGACACGACAACGTCCTCTTTCTTTTTCAAACTTAATTTAGCTAGGGATGACAGAGGATGTAAAGCAAGATTATTCAAGATATCGCTATCTACTGTTTTCTCGTCATCACACATGAGTGTGTAGTTTTTATACCTTAAATGAGGATGTTTTTTCGCTAAAGCCATAATGTGAGGAATTATTGGAGAGCATTGGGAATTTATTTCGGTGACATTTAATTTATGAAATGTATTTTCTGCGACTATGTCCAACATAATCTTTAAAGCATATCCCGTGGCTATTGTAGAGTTCAAAGGATCTTTTCCAAATCCTTTTAAATCATGCATGTTTTCCGTCGATATTTCCTTTTTCGATGCATGTTTTAGACCTTTAAGGATAATCTGGTTTCCTTCAAATTCTTTTATAACGTTTTCCTCGGCTTTCTCTTGATTTTTGACCTCAACGTTCAATTCTGATTTTATTCCTAATTTTGGACCATTAAGCTGTAGAAGTTCATGGTATTTTTTCATGTATTGGTGAATTTCTTCGCATTCTTCTTCGTATGTATACTGGAACTCATATGGAATAAAAGTATGCTTTTCAAGTGTAGCTGCTTCCTTTTCTGTTCGACAATTAGCTCTTTCAACGGACATACTATCAATTTCAATACCAACAGAGCGACAAATGTTCGTATTACGATTAAAGTTCACTGGTATCTCTGTAAAATAACAACGAAAACAAGTTTTTAGTTCAGGAAAATTATTAAATCGATTTACTGTGGAAAGAAATAAAAAGAGATAGATTTTAGATCTTTTTTTGAAAAGTATCGCCAAATAGGATTATTAACACATACACACACATTTTTAAACAATATACGTAGGTTAAAAATATAAAGAAAACATGGAAAATAATAAAGATTACTAAAAAGAGTAGAAGAAAAATATTTGAATAAAATATTTGTAAAAATATTTTTAAACAAATTATTTAAAAAAAATTCAGAAGCCGGAAAACAAAATAATGAAACTATATAATCTCTTCATCAGCTCACACGATTATATCCGCAAAAAGGAGTGCTTTCTAACATTGTATTATTGTAGCCAAAGCAAAATATATCAATACAACAGTGTGAGGAGCACTCAAAAAAATTGAAATGAAAATGGAACACATTGAGAAAAATGTATATACGAAAAAAACAGAAAATAAAATATAAAGAAAATATAGAACAAGACACAAAACGAAATCTATGCGAGTATCAAATTCAAATGAACTTACGCGTACCGGAATCTTTCAAGAATGATTTAAAATATTTTTGTATTACAATTGCCAGATTAGACAAAATATATATACAGAAGCGCAAATAAAGTTTAGGAGCGTAAATAGAGGTATCTTTTATGGCGTGTTCTTACTGCAGTACTGAAGAGCGTTAGATTTGTTAACCTTGAATTGACCCAAAAATGGATGTGCGCAAGGTAATAATATTATAATGGATAATTTAAGGTTTATAATTAATAATGTTGACATTTTATTATACTATACAACTCTCTTTCTCTTTATATATATATNTATATATATATATATGAAAAGCAATAAAGCTTTGTAAAGCCTTATAACTTTAGTCATGATATAAGGGGAGGAGCTAATAATAGACGTGAAAATTCTCGTTGTGGGATTGTTGAATTAAATTATTTTCCACTCTAATATTTGCTGTTCCCTATGTACGAAGACTGACGCTACAAATTACTAATTTAAATCATTAAGATATTTTACATACAGAAAAAGTTAAAGCAAAAAAAAAAAAAAAAAATGCTTAGTCTGAAAACTTTTGCTCCCTATAGTTCTCTAGATTTTCTTGCTGTTTTGTTCTTAAATATTGCCTTTTGTATAATTTTTTTACATTTTACAACTATCGTTGAACAGTTTACCAAATTTTGTGGTTTGCGACTACCAATGTTCAACTCCGTAGCCTTGTAATTTTGAACTCAATCCAGAAGACAAGGAAAGTCCTTGATCAAGTAATGGGAGAAATTTGCCTTCGTGGAGGGTTTTTTGATGGAACTAACCAGCATTTGCATTGCATGGTGAGGAAAGCCTCTCACGGTTAACCTGACAGCAAGGCGAGTGTAGCCTATTATCCGTCTACCGCTGAGGATATTTTACGTCGGCACTGTGGTCGGTGCGAGCCGAGTGCGGAATTCGTATCGACAAGTCACCGCTGAAATTCGAACCCGGTTCACCTTATTGGAAGGCGAACGCTCTATCCTCTGCGCTACCACTGGTCTTGTTACAATCTAGAATTTATGTATTTTTCGGATATTATCAGCCATGTATATTTTTGTATATTTTGGCACGGCTATTCTGGAATGCAAGCAAAATGCACCTATCAATCTGTAACATGGTGTGCCTGATGACGAGTTGTTGAACTCATTTTGTTTTTTCTTTTACCTTTACCCTTTTCTTTTTTTTTTAATTCCGGAACTTAATAACCTTGTCTTTAAGCTTCATTCATTTGGGTATTGCTGTGTAGCTTACATTTTGTAGGTAATTTAAATTTTTGTTTTTTAATGGCTTTAAGGAATTGTTGCTAACGAGCTGGAAAGAATTTAGTATGTTACGCGTTCTTTAATATCCACAGATATTCGAATGAAGTAAAAAATACTCCCATTATGCTCACATTTGAGATTGAAAAAGCTATAAAAATGGATCATCACCTCAGGATTATAACCTTCGACTTTATGAGCTACTTAAACTTTCGTTTTTAAACCAACTAAGTTAACAGAAAGAAAAAAAAATTCAGTTCTTTGTTAGAGGTTGCGTTAACCTTTTATGCATATTAAGGGCTGGAAAAACTAGACACGTTGTATTCATATACAAAATACATATTTGCCAACTTTTAATCCCTTCCATTATGATTTTTCCCAGTGGTATTAAAATGGAATAAAAATTTCAATTTTAAGCAAAAAAATACGTTGTATTTTAAAAAGCTTAAGCTGCCTATCATGAAAGTAACACATATTAATATATAAGCTTAATTTTTTTAAGAATAGTGGTGAAGAAAATCATTTAAAAATTTAGTTTATAAAAGAAAAAATAGTATATATTTACTACCACTTTAAATATAAAAATGAAATTTTACGCCAAATGCGTAAATGTTGGCAGGTATGAAAATATATGTTATGTAAAAATATGTATATCATACCTCTAATATTTTCATCAGTAGCAAGTTTCTGCTTTAGAACATTAGGATCCATTTTTAAAGAGTAGATTTCAGTTGGCAAGACTAAGTCATCAGGGTTTGCTAGTATGAAAGTCTGAAAGCATGCGTCCAACAAAGGTACCCATCGATCCTTCCATTGCAAAAGATATTGAGTTCCTAAGCGAGGATAAACATGACAATTTCTAATTTAATTAGTCCCAACAGAAATAAACAAAAAATTATAGTTTTTTTTAATAAACAATAAACAATGCTAGCCAAACGCTAGTTTTATAAACAATGCTAGCCAAAATAAATAAAAATAAAAATTAGACAATTTTTCTTTCAGCGAATAAAAATTTAAATTCTTCTTCGAATTTAATTAGATAGGAATTCTTCATGTTGTTCTTTCTAATGAAATTTGGACAAACCTGGCTCACCAGCCATTACTCATTTGCGAACGAAGTCAGGAAGGTGCGCCTCTCATTTGACAAGAGAGCACCGCAAGGGTGAAAGTATGACTTCACTCAAAACCCCAGATAGATGGCAGCACCACTTTTCGCCAGACCACTTCCTCAAATTAGACATAGATCTCAAGGAGAAGGAAATTTTCTCCAGATCTCTGTACGAATGGTACTGCTCAGCAACCGATCACAGAACTTTCAATCCCACAGATTTTTCGAATCCCGACTTTTTCGATTCACAAACAACTGGGCTATGACGGCCCTAACATGTGTTTATTCTGCAATAGTTTGGGGTCAACTGAGTCGTACTATGGTCTTTAAAATGAAATCTGCAGGCGCACTAGGATATACCCTAGTGCGCTTGCAGATCTTCAAACCCTGCGGATCTTCAAGCCCCACACACTAAACTTCTTTTTTTCCTTTTCAATTAAAAATTACAGTTTTTCACTCTTTGAACCGACATCGCTTTCGCAGTAGAAACTATAAAACTCTTTAGAATCTAAAAGTTGCTTTTATTTATTTTTTAAAAAAATACAGTCAATTCGCTATAACTCGAAGTACGATAACTCGAATATTACTATAACTCGATTGTTTTATGAGGTCCCGACCCTTTTATCTTCAATTTCATGTTAATTATTCTCGATTACTCGAATTTTACTCCTTTTAACTCGATTTTTTTATGAGGTCCCGACCCATTTATCTTCAATTTCATGCTAATTATTCTCGATTACTCGAATTTTACACCCTTTAACTCGATTTGTTTTGGATCTTTTGAAGCAAGAAAAAAATCCTAGGAGCTGATATCTTGTCCCTTCCTTAGCAACACACACACAATGTCTTTCGCACTCTTCATGGAGAAGCTAAAGCTGTCCCTCTTGAAGTATGTGAACAGTGGTTAAATGAAACGTTACCAAATTTACTTCAAGGATACAGTTAAAATGATGTTTTCAATATTGCTGAAATGGGTTTATTTTTTAAATGCCTTCCAAATAAGATAGCTATGATGCTTAAGGATAAAAACTGCTCAGGGGGTAAAATGAGCAAGGAACGTTTGACTGTCCTAGTTGGAGGAAATGAGTCTGGGACAGAGAAATTGCCCTTACTTGCTATCGGAAAATACCGAAATCCCCGATGTTTCAAGAATGTAAAAACGTATCCTTTGGATTACAAGTCTAACAAAAAGTTTTGGATGACATCAGTATTATTTGAAGACTATGTAAGAAAATTGGATCGGAAATTCTTCGCTAAGAAAAGAAAACTGATACTCTTTATGGATAGATGCACAGCGCATAGTGATCTACCTAATTTGAAGGCAGTAAACTTGCAATTTCTCCCGCCAAACACAACAGTTGCAGCCGATGGACCAGGGTATCATAAAGTGCTTCAAACAGTTTTATCGTAAATGGCTTGTCAGAAAAATGATGTTAAATATTGTAAGCATTTAGAAGATTTGTAATTAATAAGCATTAATTAAATAATCCGACAATATTTTGAAAGTCCAAAACCGAAACTAACGGTAAGTCGAACTTTCGATATGTCGAAGTTTTTCGTCAGTACTATCAGATTCGAGTTATCGCGAATTCACTGTATATATATTTTAACTCTTAGCTTGCTTGTTCACAAAACTTACACTGTTTTGTAAAACGCACTTAAAGAAACACGTATACTGGAAAATAAATAAAAAAACAATTTATACCGTCCAAACTCATTTTTGATATAGCTTGAAACTCAGGTCCATATTTATATCCTTTCAGTCTCAAATCGTTGTATATGTCTTTTCCATCAACAGTTGACTCTTTGTCGGCGTTATACACAGGTTCTGATTCACAATATTTGAAACCATCCCATTCATCTATTTCTCCACTTGCAACGATCGAATTTCTTTCAAAAATTTCAAAGCTTTTGCCGAGGAGATTAAAGCTCAACTTCAAAGTATCTGGAAATACAGAAAATAAATTAGCGTTAATTAGGAAAATACTATTTAATAATGAAAGACAAACTATAATCGTGCCAATAGAATGTCCAAGCCAAAAGCTAAACTACATCCTTGAAAAAGGAATCAATCAATGGTCATAATTTTATAGTTACTCATGTCAACTAGCTGTTTTCACTATTATTAATGGACGATTCATATTCCCATCCCAATAGAAACGTATTCCTATTGGTTTCTATTTAACTGATCGATCATTGCTGGATTGACAGTGAAATGACATCAGCTTAGTCATCTCTACACAGTGACCTCCATTAATAAAGTCACTAGATTTTATAACCGTCGTTGAACAGCCGACACAGATTTATAGGTTTACGACTACTGATGTTCAACTCCGTAGCTTTGTAATTTTGAACCCAATTCAGAAGACAAGGGAACTCCTGGATCAAGTATTGGGAGAAATTTGCCTTCGTGGAGGACTTTTTTTTTAATGGAGCTAACCCGCATTTGCGTTACATGGTGAGGAAGACTACGAGAGCATCCCACGGTTAGTCTGAGGCAAGGAGACTCTAACCCATGATCCGTCTACCACTGAGGATATTTCACGTCAGCAATGTGGTCGTTGCGAGCCGAGTGCGGTATTCTTATCGACCAGCCATCGCTGAAATTCGAGCCCGGTTCACCTCATTGGAAGGCGAACGCTCTATCCCCCGAGCTACCTCGGCTTTTATTATAATTTAGAATTTATGCATTTTTCGAATGCTAGCAGCCATGTATATTTTTGTATATTTTGGCACTTCGTATCGACTGGGATTCGAACCCGGTTCGCCTCATTGGAAGGCGAACGCTCTATCCCCTGAGCCATCGCGGCTCAAAAAAGTCACTAGATCATAAAATCTTTTACTTTTCAAAACTCTATCCCTTAAGCTATCACAGCTCTGAACGAATTATTGAATAATACATTTTTAGGGGGGGAGGCACTGGTTGGTAGGTCGGGTTCGTGAGAACGAGAGTTAAAATTCCACCGGCCGAAATATGGTGACTCATTCACAGCCGAAGAATGGTGTATTAATTGGTGACTTATACACGATAAATCTGTCGGGGTCACAAAGTCCTAAAATTTCTCATAAAAAATCAATACCACTGGTACTGAATTGGAGATTGACTGTTCTCTGGTTAGGTCAAAATTACGATCTGCAGATGAATGCATGTGGATGAACTACGTTCTATGGATGAATGAGGTGTATATCAGGTAGGTTTTACAGGTCCACTCTGTAAAATGAGCTGTGACTGTGTGTGGCATAAATCATATTCTTGGCCATAGATGACGCGACTGAAAAATAGGAAACCCATACTCTGTTTTAAATTCGCTAGATTCCCCATGCAGGCTTAGCTGGTATGACAAAAGATGCTATAGAAATAACAACATTCATTTATCCCACCATTTTCACCATATTCCCACCTCTCGCTGTACTTTTTCTATCTAAATCTTCTATCTTAATCTAAGTATCTAAATCTTAGAGTTTTGGAGCAACAAAAAATAAACCTTCTGGAACAAAATTTGATATTTCTGTACCACTTTTAGGATAGGCGTCTAAAATTGTTCTTTACAGTCTAAATTTCGAGACACTAGCACGAACATTACCAGAACTATAATGAGACAAAATATTTCTTTCATTTCCGAAGATTTATTATTTATCCTAATTTGTGTTTCTCCCCTCTTCTTGTAAATAGACAATAGATATTAAGTAAATAATCCCAAGACACTGAAGCTGTACGATATTAATTGATTAAAAACTTCATTCCTTTCAAAAATATGCAAAATGGAAGTAATAGTCGATGTGTTCCAAACGCTCGGAAATAGGCGCTCATTTTCAAGACTTGCCAGACATGAATGAGAACTGATTTGGAAGAGCAAACTTAACGTTGCCAACGAAAAATGGAAAAATAATGGGGAAAAACAAAGCTATAAAAACCATAGTAGACCAGAGAGAAAAAAGATGAAAATTGGAAGGAAAAAAAACGCAATGTCCGAGAAGGGCAAATCAGGGAAAAATGTATTTCCACACGCTAAGGAGAGGTGGAGAGAAACTAATGTCGTTAACAAGGGAATCAGCATTCATATAAATAAAACAAGATTCCAGGACATCAAGTTGAGCTAATGTGACTAGTGTGAAAATAATTTTGTCATTCTCGAAATTGAATTTATGCCCAAGATTCCATCAATGTACAGCAATTGATAATTTGTCGTATTCTTGATAACGATCTAATAATACCGACTGTTATTTCCATTTTGTTAAATTTCCTTGTTATTCTATATATTGTTCCCTTGTACAGTTTTGAAGGGAATGAAATATTTAATCAAGTGATAGACAACAGATAGTTTGAAATTAGACATCTTTCCAGTGTTTCACTTATTTACTTGTAGTAAATAGAATGGGTTGGCTTAATAATGTACTCTTACCCATGTGTATGACTACAGCCCGGTGTATCTTGAAGTTCTGGATAATGATAGGCAATTCTTCAGCAATTCCTTGAAGTTTCCTGGCTAGCATTTTCCATGCAAACACAACGTATCCCGCAGCCGGAAAAATGGATCTTTTATCTATGAAGTGATCCAGTAAGTAAATGTCTTTTAGACTTGGATTATATGTGTGAGAGATTTCTTTGGTTCTTTGTTCCCCCTTTCTGACTTGGAATGAAATAGAATGATTCCACTTGATTAAATCAGATATGCATGGCGTGTTTCTTGGAACTGGAAACTGTACTGCAGGATACAATTTTTCTACTCTAGGGTCTAGTCCATGCTGATACATCCTATAACAATATATATATATATACAGTAGAACCCGTTTGAGAAGTTTTTCAAGGGAGTGGAAAGAAACGACTTATTAAACGGGAAAACTTATTAAACGGTGAAACTTAAAAACACATTAATAAAAAACTAAAAAATTTGAAATTGTGTAACTTATATTAAATTCTCAGCCTAATGAAATAAATATTGAATTTTAATATTCATTTAGAAAAAAAATTGCTAATAAATAAAAACAAAGTAACCTACTTTATTTTTTGTTTCATACAATGTAATATACGTTGTTACAATAATTGACTAGATTTCTGTGAGAAAAAATCGTGTAAAGTGGTTTGTTTTTGTCTTTTCTCACCTACCTTTAAGTGAAAATTGTCCAACTGCTGTAAAAATTTAAACATTTCCGGGGGTACATTTTCAACAGTGTAAATAAATTTCCTAAAAGTATCCAGCCCTTTCCTGGCATCAGAAAAGCTAGGTGGTTTAGCAATATCTTCTTCAGTTTCACTGAATTCTTCTGTATCATTTGTAACATCACAAATATCCTCTAATGTCAGCATATCACAAGGTAAAATTTCGTCGTCAACGGATACATATTCTTCAAACGATGCTGTGAAATTAAGTTTATTTTTGAATGACTTCCAATCATTAACAAAATTTACGTTTGTTTCTTCGTCTTCATCTGATATTTCATATTCAGCTTCTAAGAGATATTCTTCAGTTGTATCTCCGTCAGAGAATCCAGCTTTCCGAAAACAGTTAGCAATGGCAGATGGTGTTATTAATTCCCATGCTGATACAATTAACTCAATCGCTTCTAACATATTGACTTTTTTTAGCTCTCCAGTATTTTCAAGTCCTTCCAGCATCCGTTTCACAAGTCGCATTTTATAATGCTGCTTAAATACCTTAATAACTCCCTGATCCATTGGTTGTAGAACAGAAGTAGAATTTGGTGGTAAGAACTGCAACTTGATGTTAGTGTACTTATTCTCCTTGGAATGAGCAGCGCAGTTGTCTACGAAGATTATGATGTTTCGTTTTTCTTTTCGCATCTTACTGTCTAATTTTTTCAAATACGTTTCAAAAATTTTAATTGTCATCCAGGATTTTTGATTACTGTCATAATCACAAGGCAGTGACTTAACATTTCGAAAGCATCTTGGTTTTTTCGATTTACCGATAACTAAAATCGGTAATTTTTCTATACCATTCATACTGGCCCCAACTAAAATTGTCAAACGTTCTTTACTGTTTTTTCCGCCATGACAGGGTTCACCTTTAAAGGCAAAAGTTTTATCTGGTAAAAGATTGAAAAACAGTCCACATTCATCCATGTTAAAAATGTTCTTTGGTTGATACCCTGAAATAATTTCAGGTAATTTAGCTTTCCATTCTTCAGCTTCTTGTAAATCAACGCTGTTACAATCTCCTTTAATTGTTTTATAAACTAGACCAGCTCTTTTTTTCATCCGATCAATCCATCCATTGGAAGGCGTAAAATCAACATTCAATTTCTCCGCAATCTCTAATGCTTTTCCTCTAAGAAGAGTTCCGTTGACAGGTATGTTGGCGGATCTTGCTTGTTTAAACCATATCATCAGTTTCTCTTCAATATTTTCGTATTTTCCTTTCTTCACTTTTTTTACTTTCTGGGATGCACCGGAACAAGAAGAGTTTAAGATGATGTCTTTCTTAGCAATAATGCCATTTAACGTAGTAACAGGAAGATCTAAATTTTTTGCTATTTGAACTCGTGTTAATTGAGGATAGCTGTCAACAGCTTTTAAAATTTTTACTTTGTCATCAATAGATAGAGCTTTACGCTTAATGCCTTTACAGGACATTTTCCACAAAAATCAAACTTTTTACGATGATTTTTAAGATAACATAAGCGCCTACACTAAGAAAATTTTCAACGAAATGCTGCTAAATGTTTAGATGTATCTTTCTCTTCAGTTATTGAATGGGTGTGGACAGCAGTGAAGTTCGTGAGTCACCAGGCTATTCATTTAAGGTGGACACAATGACAAAGCTATTCCCTACATTCTTATCAGTTTCATAGTTCATCTAAAGGTTCACATTCCTTTGCTCACACCTGTTCCTGATAAGTCACCTTTCTTTGTAACAAAGGAGTGATGAAGGTCAGTGGTCAGTACCCATACATATGTTTGTAAGGGCAAGTTAAAACTAAATAAGACATTTTAAATAAAATTTTAAAAAATTGAAATTAGGAGTGGAAACTTCTTAAACGGGAAAAAAACTTCTTATAAAAGTAAATTTAACATTATGGTAATTGGTTTTTTTAAAAAATAACTTCTTACGCGGGAAAACTTCTTAAAAGGGAACTTTTTAAGCGGGTTCCACTGTAT